GGTTGCTCGGTTTCATGAGATTACACCTCTCTCCAGCTGACTGACTGTCTTTCACTTATTCTGTTAATATCACCTTCAAGACGTATTCACCGCTTCCACATACACACTGAGATGACTCCAGTCTGGATAGAACTACTCTGTATACTTCTCAACATATACTTTTAGCATAATGATGACCTCTTCACAGACCACCGATAAACTCATTGCAGAAGACGAATGCAATCAGAAACTCTCCATGGCTGCAGGATATACGCCAACTGCTACTATTGACAGAATCGTGTTAACAAAGTTGAGTGTCTTCCAACCTGAATATCAGTTGTCTACTTTCACATTTTCCTCTTCAAACAAACACCACAACCATACTTTCTAGTCATTGACCAAAATCTAATCATATTATCAAAGACTTAGTGAAGCAGCTGGCGAACCTATCGACCATCTCAGATTCACTACACTGATCACTGATTTCGAGAAAAAGGTAATGCAGCAGGAAGAAGCGCACTTGTTAAGTGTGCATCATGTCAGACAGTGTTCGAGATGTCTGATGCCAGCCACCGCAGTGTTCGCATGAAAACCTGACAGTAATGAAGTCAGGTGGGAGGAAGTCAATGGTCAAGCATAATGCAGAATATGATAATATACTTGTTTATTTGATGTAGTATGCAGTGAGATGCAATTTTATTCATTTTGTAAGGAGATAAATCTCTATCACTCTGTTTAAAATGATAAAGAAGAATCCAATATGAAGCTACATTCCAGCACACTGTGCATAATTTCCACTCACACTAGTGTGGCAGAATAAACTTGAATAAGGGCAATCAAAATAATGAGATGACCGACGTATTGGAACAGATTGCTTTGCAATAACGGTCCGCTGAGTCTTCATCATGTTTTCTTCTAGCATGGTCGACATTCTTGATGACAATGCGATGGACTCTTCTCCTATTGACTCCTCACTCCTTATGGCGTCACGTTTATTCACTGAACAATTGAATGGAGACAGGCATGAAGGAGTTGGTGAGTAGGAATTTGCATGAGAGGTGACTGTGGTGACTAGGTTTCTGATATAGACGTGTGAAATCGACATTGAAACCGGTGTCATGAGATCATACTTGTGTCTAGTTGACTGCCTGTATGTCTGACTGCAATGCACACACACACTTCATGACTAACTGTATTTGTTGCGGTTTTTCTTGGAATATCACTTTGCTTCGAAGTCCTTTCTTCAACTTTCGCCTATCCGAAATCACACTTCTTTGTCCTCTGTGTGGTATTAACTTTTTCAAAATGATGATCGATTATCATGTTTGTCTCATGCCATGGTGTCAATTACTATTTCAGTCAATGTGCGGTAAGATATTAAACTCTGACTCTCACTAACTGCTTCCGATATAAAAATGATAGCAGAGCATTTGTCTCATACACTATCCCAAAATCGTGAGTCATTTCAAGTTAAATTTGAGTTGGCAGTTAAATATAATTGAAGGTGAACTACTCTAGGTTTTGTTCACACGCAATCATGATTGGAAGGAGATAGTAAGAATGAATTTGAATTAAGGTTAAGGTATGCTTTACAAAACTGCAAGTTATTTCCTGTCTACTTACTTTCAGATGTTTTCATAAATGAGGCATTGTTATTCAATGAACTGACCAAGAACATGCAGTGTATGGTGAGAATGATCAATGAAAACTTCATTGTTTTGTTTGATGCTGTAACTGAAAGCAGAATATTCGAGTTTCTTATTTAGAATCTTGCATAAAAATAAGTGGATGATATGTCATGTGTATATAGTGAAGCCCCCTAATCTGTTTCGAGTTTAGGTGTAACTCATTATATTCAAATTCAATACAATACTCACAATACGAAAGTACCGCATACAGATAATCTGGTAACAGCAGGCTGTATTCACCTATAAAATGCTACAATCATTAATAACTGGAAAATGGCTGTCGTCATCATCATAAATATACTCATAGTGCCATGGACAATCAAAAAATATGACATGGGGAGGTATAAATATACGAGTAAAACTTGGGCACTGTGCTCCATTGTAATTCCATTTCAGTCTGTTCACTAGTAATGTCACACTGTGAAACAGTAGCATTTACTGGATAACATTTCGGACATAATTCATTGTCCATATTCATATCAGGTGACTCCACAACTTCGAAACAGTCTTTATATATTCCCAATTTTCTCTCCTTCTCTATGATGACAAAGGTAGTAGAATTTTCCATGTTTATCTGAGACAGGTGCAGAATCATTTCTGTCATTGCATGTATTTGGTGTGAAATCGATGAACAAAGATTCGGTTATCAATCTCTCCCTCCTTTCACTCAAGTAAGTTAGTGTTTAACACTGTCACACTATCCCACTCCACCGTGTGATTGTGTGTAATTGTGTGCAGAGCTATGGCCAAGCTTTCTCAGTCTGATATGTGAGGAAGAAAAAGACCATCAACTTGCATTTCTTGATACACTCTTGTGCCGGAGGGAAGATGGATCTATGAGGCGATCAATATATTGGAAGCCTACTTGGACAGGATAGTATTTGAATTTCCATTATTTTTTGTCCGATGAAATATAAGAGAGGCTTGGTGAGATGCTTGTTCAATAGAATCCAACGTATTTGTACATCTGATACGATGGATGATGAGAATAAGTTTCTGACGGACACTCTAGTGGAAAACGGTTATCCATTACAGTTTGTCAAGCATTGTAAAAAACAGTTGACCCCAAAGCCTACAGTTTCCTCGGTCCAGAAGGAAACCATATTTCTTAAAGTACGATACAGAGGGGAAACATGTAGAATGATATTGAAGCAGAGATTAAAACCTGTTATCAGTAAAACATATTATGCAGCTCAGCTTATCATTGTTGAGACGACAAAACACTGTCTTCGCCACAAACCTCAACCTCGCACAAATGATTACGTCACATCCCACTGTGTTTACCAACTTGCATGTATGTGTGGGCACACATACATAGAGAGGAGTGATCGTTCAGTGCAGACTAGGGTGGGTGAACACCTCCCCAAATGGCTAGAAAAATAGTTTAACACACAAACTTTGATAAGTGCAGGTGACACGCATCCATCATCATCTATAGCAAAACATATTATTGAAATGAATCACAGGGTTAATACGAAAACAGCGTTTAAGATAATGTACAGGAATAATCAGGGGCGCATACTGAAGTTTGCCGAATCGTTGGCCATTCGTAAACTTAATCCCCAGCTGTCTGTACAAAAACAATTTGTTGTTTCACTTAATTTACCTTGGTAATCCTTGGCAATCTGATTATATTACCAAGACTAGTGTGTGTCACAACCTTTTCACATTCACTATATCTGACCTTTAATTTTCATATATAAATTGACTTGAAAAGTAAATGTGTGATCAGATTGTTCGAAATGTGTTGCGCAATTACATCACAGTTTTCAGATAATCTTCGTCTTCTAATGTCGTTATTGAAATTTTTCATATAGTTCTTATCTTATTAGGATCCACTAATCTTGATTTAATTTCATTTAGTTTGTTTATTAGAAATATCATACAGTGAAACAGTAGCATTCAAAGCATCTGCTGTGTTAGCATTCAAGGAAGGCACCTCAGAAGCATTAGGAAGAATTCTCAATGAAGTCGGCTAGGATTAAAAAGATATTCAAACCAACAAACTTGCTAAGAAATAAGCTTTGTAGGTTAAAAGATCCTATCGACGCAATTGGGCAAAATAATCTGGTTTGCCAGATCCCTTGCAATGATTGCGAGGTCAAGTACATAGATGAAAGCAGTCGACCAGGGTCGATTAGAAAAACGGGGCACAAAACCTTAGCTAAATCAAGATCAGTAGATTCTAATAAGATAAGAAGTTTATAGAAAAGCTTGGCCACAGCTCTGCACACAATTACACACAATCACACAGTGGAGTGGGATAGTGTGACAGTGTTAAACACTAACTTACTTGAGTGAAAGGAGGGAGAGATTGATAACCGAATCTTTGTTCATCGAATTCACACCAAATACATGCAATGACAGAAATGATTCTGCACCTGTCTCAGATAAACATGGAAAATTCTACTACCTTTGTCATCATAGAGAAGGAGAGAAAATTGGGAATATATAAAGACTGTTTCGAAGTTGTGGAGTCACCTGATATGAATATGGACAATGAATTATGTCCGAAATGTTATCCAGCAAATGCTACTGTTTCACAGTGTGACATTACTAGTAACAGACTGAAGTGGAATTACAATGGAGCACAGTGCCCAAGTTTCACTCGTATATTTATACCTCCCCATGTCCTGGTTTTTAATAGTGGAGAGCAATATTCCCTGCTTCACGGTATGATGAAGGTCACATTGGATAATGTGCATCTTCTGCTTACCTTTCTACTGCTCAAATGTTTCTGCATACTTGTTCATTCATTCTTGCTGCATTCGGTTGCCAGCGATATGTGCATATTTCTATTTCGATTGCTCACTCAGCTGCGATACGTTTCACGAAATGTTGTTAGTTTCTATGTAACTAGCATCACGTCAAATGCACATATTCGAGAGTCACAATGAATAGTCAGGTTTTTGCTAGATCTGGCACCTCACACATCACCTACAAGCACATGATAGTTGACGACTTCCACCAACACTTCAACGATTATCAAATCATTTGTAATGCTGACAATAAGTGTAGATGAATGCTGCTGATAACCGAACCCACTTCTCCACATTTATTCAGCTTGTAGATACAAATCAGATATGATGAATAAGGTTACAGTATATATTGTTAAACTATGTGAATAAAAAATACTTTCAAACAAACTTACCTAATCTAGCCGGTAGTCCACAGTGGATTTGATCAATAATTATTTGAATATTTCGTGAGTGTAGTTCCTTTTATAATGATGACATTCAGTGATGAAGGAATCAATATCTCTGTGTACCTGAATCTCGCGTACTGAATGTGAATTTGATTGGCGAACGTCTGAATAAAAAATTCATATCTTACATCCATATCATCTGACATAAGTAAGAATGTTACAATTTTTTTCTTTTTCTGTCCATCTGTGTTCACATTATTCTCGATAGAGAGAGGACTAAATAACTTATCATACATATAAGATGTCATATCAGTTTGGGGAGTAAGAGAACAGTGTGAAACTGATGGAAAGTCTTTGACCATCAAAGTTAATTTCAGGTTAAAATTATGTTTCTGATTAAGTCGAATAGATTTTACTTCAGGTGGAATACATGTTGGAATTGTCCAAGTAAATAGACAGTTTGAACAATCAGTAGGAGGTTAAGATGTTTCACAGTGTCACTACACCACTGTTAACAAGTCTGAAGATTTTAGAAGGCAATTTATTTTGCGAGATAACTTACAACATTAAACTTAATTCAGTGAGAAGCTAGCCTTCTTTATTAGCCATAATGAAAGGTGATTTTCACAAGCAACTTTTCAAAACGGAATTACATCCAATTCACTCTGTTTGTCCACTGTCTTCACTGTGTATGGTACTTAGATTCGTAAACCATGATGACGAGAAGACAGATATTGTAGAATGATTATCTGTCATCATCTCTGTAACACCAAGTCGATAATAATTTACCCTTAGATCACCTAGTGTAAAGCCTGCATGTGGCTAACTGCATAAGCTTACTTGATATATGCATACGAGACAACTGTCAGCAGAAGATGAACAAGAAAGAATAAGGCAGGATAGAAGAAAATGAAACACCGAACAGTTGAGGACAGAACAGGTGCAGTAGAGTTATAAAAAAATATAAGGTGAATCACGAATTGAACAAGCACACAATCCAGTCACATTAAAGGTGATGTATCTCCAATACTGTATCAGTACAAATGAATCTACTACAGCTCAGCTTTTCATCAACATGTGAAGATATTTTGCAAGACGCATGGTGATCGTCTCTATGCAGATGTCATCACAACGCTCTGATGGAAACTGGTGTTTTCGTTAATGTTGGAAAACTCATGTAGTCGTCGCATTTCTGTTCCTTCATCGTACTCCATTCCTCCTTTCTACACTCACAGACTAATAGCATTCACAGAAAGGCAACATGTTACACATCCAAATTCCACTTTATCAGTATGTTCTCCTTGACATAAATAACCACAAATTCTGCAGCATTACAGCACATTGACTTCTCAGTAATGACCAGATGATTTAATGTTGACTCGAACCATCTCTCTCTGAGGTTACCTGAATGTTAAAGTTGAAATTCAGATCATGCGTTTGAGGTTTATTTGCAATGGATTTGGTTGTCAGGAGTTTGTGAGTAGTTCAGCTACTGGGAAAAAAGTCTGACCGCTACGCACACCGATCACTACATCTCACTGTAATGGAAAAATGATCCAAAAATCCCTCCCGATCACCCTATTTGATAGTGTTGACATTTATTTGAATATTTTTACACTCTCGTTATGGATAGTATGCCTTTGACTGTCTTCTTTGACTTTTCACTCAGTGTTTGCCTTTGTGTGATTGAGACTTATGATGAATGTTTCACTTTCCTATTATGTGATGCTGGACTGTTGACAAGGTGACGTTATTTTACTGCACCCGACATTTTGTTTTGGTTCAATTTACAGTCGGTGTCAACTGATCGAAGATGGTCAGATTATCTCGTTATGTTCCGGTTGAGTATTTCTGTTTTGCTAATATTTTCATTTCTGAAACATATATCAACAATAGAGGATGAACAAATCATGCGCCAGCAGAAGATACTATTTCCATCACGATCAAATTGCATGTCGTCGCAACACATCTTGAGTTCATTCAACCACAGATTCGACAATTTAGGTAGTTCATTATATCACCTAAAACGGGTTTCAAATGAGAAAGTTTCTTCATGGAATCTAGGAGTGTTTGGCATTGATTAATTCTGCTTATTATTATTATTATTTGTCCCTTAGGTTTGTAGTGGAACATAGAGCTTCAGTAGCTTGTCGCCATTTCACTTCCTTCTCTTCAGTCTTCACAACATGGCTCCATGACTGCCAACAAGCTTTTACTTCTTCCTCACAACATTTCCTCCATATCACCCTCGAACGCCAAACTCGTCGTCTTCTCTTTGAGTTCCATACAGAGACCTGGTCTGGCTTGGCACGTGATCCCCTCAAACGCAATTCTCATTCTATGTCCTCTCAAATTAATCTCTACTGTCCATCACCTCTATCTTCTCTATGTTCACATGAAGAAAGTTCAGTCTTCCCTGCCTCTTCTGTCAACTTGTTATTTTCTCCTCCTAGATCTTTGAGTTTGTGCGACAAGTCAATAGATATAAGTGATCATCGGGGATATCCAAATTTACTTCCGTGGTATTTTCATTGGTCAAGTCAGTGTATGCCTATCTTCTTGCTCCTCACAGTACGCTGCATGATCCAGTCCAGTCCAGTCCAGTCCAGCCAACCACAATCAGGAAAGTGATGGGTGATAGTAGGCGGCAGACTTGTCTCACTCCTGTCTTCACTTGACTTCGAAGGCGTCACTGAGCTTTGGATTGTCAATGTCTAGGCGTGTAGCATCCTATAGCATACAGCTGTTGAATGAGGTTGATACAGGTTTGTATCACTAAGACCGTGGTGTTGAAGCAGTTGCTAAACAAGTTCTCGGTTGACGCTGTTGAAAGCCTTTTCAACGTCGATGAAGTTGGGGTGGAGTGTTGACTGCCATGCTACACTCCGTTATATGATGACGAGTAGTGTAGCGTTGCAATTTGCTACACATATGATTTGTTCCTGATTCCCGATTCCAGCCAGCTTGTTCTGGTGGTGGTTTCCTACCCAACGCATTGCTTAGTCCCTTCAGGATGCTGCGCCATGGTATTTTGTTTGTGGTGGACAGGAGCACGATTCCCCAACAGTTCTTCTTCTTGCAAGGCCTTAGGTCACCCATAATTCTTCGGGAGTTTGACAAGGTAGTCCTCCTTCCAATCAATCGGAAGGTACCTTTCCTCCCTTCTGAACCTCATGAAATAGTGGTGCGAGCGTGTCTGTTGATGATGGCTTTCACCAACTGGCATAATTTCGCCTCTCTGTATCCAGGGAGGAATAAGTTTGTTTGTATGTTTTATATTTTCTTTGTGCTTCGAAGTTTGTTTATCGACTGAATTGGTTTTCCGGTGTGCGGTTGGTAGCCCTATTCTAAGCCTTCCCTCTTTATACGGGCTTAGTAACAGCTTGTAACTAGGGAACTTGTTAACTAGTCGAGGTAGAATAATCCCTTGGATTCATTCAGTTATTTCGGGTGAGAGTGTTTAAAATAAATAAAAATGTGGTTAAACACAGTAAGCACAGTTTGGATTAGTCAACGACAAATGTTGCCCGAAACTGTTGGCTAACACGTTGGATAAATTGGAATTGAAACTTGTGCATATTTGATGAAGTGCTCATCAGATCGATTTTGCTCTGAACTTACTTCAAGAAACAGTTTGAATCTCCACAACCTTAAATGTATGTCGGAATTGAAGATATCGGAAGACGATGACGCATAATTTGTTATTATTTAGAGGAATGTTCTCTCATCGATGAAGTGGGAAATTACTTTCCCCAATATGAAGTTCATTAGAAAGAGGTGTTCAAAGTATTTGTGTTTTCTCTCAGTGTCGATAAACTGTTCAAACTGTCCAGAAAGATTTCGAAGTAGATTAATTTTCACCATTGATTTAGGATGTGAATATGTTCTTGTTATACACAAGCATGAAAAATAAGATTTTCTCCTATCGAATGAAAAATAACGTCTTCGAAAATCACACAGTTATCCATGGTTTTGTTACTTTCAGCCACACCAACAAAATATTCATCAAAACAGCGATTAGGACATTGAGATCTCACACAAACCAAATTTAAGCCTCTGAATGTCATGATTACAAGGAAAATAAACAAAGAGCAATCGTGCGATAGAGAAATTCGTGAACTGTTTATCAAGAAGTCACTTGCCACAGATTCTCTCAATACTCCTCATACCTAAACACACAGGACTATCGTCCTTCCATCTAAATTCATTCTAAAAACACAAAATATCACTTCACTGTGACATTCTCAATAGAATAACAATAATCTAAACCCCGACTACTATTACATAGCTAGCTAATTATTATCTCTCACAACGTCTGACTCACCAACACTGTACACACCAATTTCAGAATTCTCTGTGAGAGTAATGAGATAAATGAAGTTAATTAGCCAAATTATACTCATTATCATAATCAATATCAACCAGTGGTGTGCTCTGGTGTCGGGTTGGTAGCCCTATGCTGAACCTTCACTCTTTATACAGGCATACTACTAGCTTGTAACTAGGGAACTCGTTACACATGTCAGGGTCAGATATGCGATACATCCTACAAAAATATGAGGCATAATATTATGAAATCTATTCGGTTTGTAGGATATGTTTCGAAGATTATTTTGATGGATGCACTGAAAATGAATTTATATATCATATCACCTCGACCACTGAACAACGTCTAATGAAAATTGAAACCGGTAATCTTTTAATTCAGTGACCCATCACGTAGAATGTTGGCTCACAGCTCAAGCATCACTTAATATCATGTGTGCTGAATCCGCTCTTTCAATTCACGTCAACAGCTTCTGCTTTGCTGCAGTATATTTTACCTAACCACTGAGAAAATTCGAACTTCATTTTATTTATGCATTCATTGAATAAAACAAAATACACTCAACCTCTGACTTGATTCACTCCGTCAATAAATGCTGACAACATGCTGATAACAACATTTGAGAATAGTTTATTGGTTTGCTGTAATTCACGCTGTCACTTTAATTGCTGTGTTTGAGGACGCTACTTCTATGCATAATATGCATCGTGCAAACCAAGCATGACAAATGATGTGGTATTCCACTCTATGCTTCGTCATCCTCCCCTATGCGGATTTCATAGTCACGACGATGTGCGGTGTGCATCTTCATTCCCATTCCATTTGTTAGGAAAAATTGCATTTAATCTAAGTCTAACAGAGACTGTTGATTTACTCTTTACATGAGATAAGCTCATATCAACTTTACATACTTTCGATCGGCGAACCAACTGTTTAGTTAGACGATCATTCTTCGTGCCACTACTTGTTAATCTTCTGGAGTTGAATCTTGAGGAATTGCACGACTGGTTTCATACAAACCGATAACCACACATT